TTTACACACACACAGGCACCATTGATTGAAAGGGCAGTGACAGAGGAACTTCAGAGGTTTTTGGATGACACATCTGCTCTTGACCCACTTCAAGCTACTTTCAGGCCTGATTGGGAGATCGCTTTAGTCTCTCTGGCTGAAGATTTCCATTCACGCATGAACAAAGGGAATGCTTCCTTTTCAGTGTTTCTTGATCTGTCAGCAGCCTTTAATACAGCAACCCACTCTATCCTATTATTCCACTCTATCCTATTAAGTAGTTTGGAAACTGGGTTATTTTTATCCTGTCCTTCCCCCAAGGAGTTCCATTCTAATCTCTAAAACAGCCTTGTATAGTAGGTCAGGATTTGGGTGACTGTTCCAAGATCCATCCATTTCATGATTGAATTTTATGACTGGATGGGGAACCGAACCTGACTTTCCTTAGGCCTAGTCTGATATTCTAACTACTCCTACATCTCACTGGCTGTCTAGGAATGCAGGAAATATTCCTTAAATAGTTTTGGTCTTTTCTGACTATCAGAACTCAATCAGTTGTTGTTAACGACTCCACTGTTTAGTTCTTAACCTGTGGTGTTCAACAGTGATCTGTGCTGTTCCCAGTGCTTTTTAATAGCCATGTCAGGCTGTTGAACAGGTTGTCAGTAGCTTCAGTATGCCAGTGACAGACCGTTCTATATTTCTTTAAATAAGCTTCCAGAAGTGGTTGTCTTGGTTCCAGGCCAGTGCCCGGATGCTGAGGCTGAGCAGCTGAGGGAGATCAAGCCAAAACTGAATCCCGACGTGAAGGAAGTGAGGCTAAAGAGGATCCAGAAGGGACCGTGCTGCACACTTTGATTCCTTCCTTTGCAGGTTCAGTGAAAAGCTTGGGAGGTGCTTTTTGATCCAACCCTGTTGTTGGAAAAGTAAGTTGCTGTGGTGACCTATATGGCCAATCCACACATTATGGAGTACACAGGTAGGGTTTGGGGTCCCCACCCTGTCAGACATGAATTGTGGATTCTCTGCAGTTCCCACAGTGCAAACGGAGAAGGGGCTTCAGCCTCCCCCCCTTTGTGGGCCATTTCAGGCCAGAAAAACAGCATGGGGGTGGAAGGCTGAAGCCCCTTTTCCACACGATTGAAGTCCCCATCAGAATTTTGGCACCACATGCAGTGGAACAGAGGAGAACCCAAAACCTACATCTGACTGTTACACAGAGTAAGGACACGAGACTCAACAGGTGTACACTGTAATTTGTGAATGGTCCCTAAGAGTGCCTTTTCAACTCCATTTCGCTGAGAAATGATCTCCCCTTACAGAGTCAGCCGACCTGGCCTCCCTGATCCACGCTGTGGTAACTTTGAGATTCAGCTATTGTAACACACAGTTTGGGGCTGCCTTTAAAGATAACTCAGAAACCTCAATTGGTGCAAAATACACTTCTTTTAACTGAAACAAGCCAATCTGAAAATATAACACCTGTTCTTAAGCATCTTATTTAACTGTTTGTTTCTGAGCTCAGTTTAAGGTGCTGGTTCTCTTAAAGCCATTCACAACCTTAACTACTTCTCTTTCTCACCAAGCTTGAAATGTGCACTGCTCCTTTAAATTCCTGCTTGCTATATGCTAAGGGGTGAGACTTGGCAACAGGAAGAACTTCTTTGCTATTTAGGTGCTTGGCAGAGCTCAAACTAAATGCTGAAGCAACATCTCTCTTGGCTGGGAGCTCTCCCAGGTCCTGCAGAGCTTGAGATCTGTTGCTTGGTACTTGCTGAATGCACCACCAGATAACTCCTGTTCCAGCAAAGTCAAATTCCAGCCTTGATTGATGCCCTGAGGGCTCTCAGCCCCAGTAGTCCAGGAGGAAGATAACTGCTTTTGCTAGCATCAGATGGCTGTGGAAGAGACATTTATGATCTGTGCGTCTGCATGTGCCTGTTGCATTGCAGGATCTGAGCTTGAATGTCTTGCAAATCTTTGTTTTTTTATTTTTAGATAATTGTGCAAGAAATACACAGTTGTCCCCCCCCCCCCCCGTTACATATACACTGCTGCATCCATTATGGGGAAACTGCATTTTCTCTGCATGTGTCCCCCCTCCCCCACAGTTTTGTTGCTGGGGAAATGCATGTGTAAACCTTGGTCTGCTTACCTTCAGAAATACACGTTGATTAGACAGTGAGCACAGAAACATGCTCTCCAGCCTCTAAGCCATGTGTGCTGTTTGTTTTCTCAGACCAACATCCCCATTACTGTTCATCTCCCACCTAGACTGTTGGGGTATGACTCCATTCCAGATACTTGCAATAGCTAATGGCCCGTCCCCCCCATGCCAAATCTAAGGAAAGAAGAGCAAGCTGTGACAATATATCATCTCTTAAAAGAGTACAGCAAGATTTGTGAGGAGACGTGACTTGTCTCAGAACATTCACTGTGCTGCCGCATGGCCACTGCCAGCTTTCCAAACCCTCATGGAACAAACACCCTGTGCTGAGCCCCTAAAATCTCCATAAAGGCCTTTTGAAAGCTGAGCTCTGTTTCATTTATTGTTTTATGTGATCAAAGGGTTTTTTTTTAAAAAAACACCATTTATTTTTAGTTTTTATTCTCCCTTGTTTCAAGAGCTCAGGGTGTGAGATGGAACTTCTGTGTGAAGTGAAGGGATCTTTGCCCGATAGGCGAGGCTCAGAGACGGAAGGTGAGCCCAGGGTGCACGACTATCCTTTCAGCACATGTTTTCCAAGTTAGCCGGATTAATGTGCAGGGGGAAAAAAATCTCAGAGCGTTATATTTTATAATGACTTTTCTATTTTCCAGTCTGGCGGAGTATTAATGGTACCCTGTTGTATTCTGCTGTGGAGAGAGGGCGGCAACCAGGTGTAAAAGCAGCAGAATTGTGAAAATGTGCTGGTTACCTGTTTTTCCTTTTCTGTCTCTTCTTTGAAACCAGGGTTGGTCTAACCAATAGCCTGGGGTGCCAACTTCCCAGGTGTGCTCAGCTATGTAAATGTCCTGGAGGGAGAGTCAGAAAGAAAGAGGTGCTGTCTGAATTTCTGAATGAAGCCTACAGAGGCAGCTTAAGGGGGTGGGGGGGAGATCCCCAGCATTCCAGTGGGTGCAATGGAGAGCTTTTTGATCTCCACCGGCTGCCTGGAGCACAGACATAGTTCTAAAGCAGAGGAAATAAAGAAAATACAGACATTAAAAAATGAGAGAGAAAAAGACTGCTCTTGTTTATACCATGTGCCACCGGCATGCTGCTCAGCATATAGTGAGAGGCAAGGCCAGAGGGAGGGATTTTTTCCTGGGGCGCAAAAAATATGTTTTTGCGACCAATCCTCCTCGAAAGGTTGTTGGTGTTAAAGATTTGTGCACTGGGAAGAGGGGTCAAGCCTTCCCGATCCTGGCAGCAAAAGGCATCGTGGCCATGCTCCAGGAACCTAAGGAGTAACGCTTCCTGTTGCTTCCCCAAGACCTCCATTCCCTTTGCTCCTTTATAGGGTTGCTAGCTTCAGTATCTTAAGAAATCGTGGCCCTGAAATCAATGAGGTATAAAAGGGTGGCTGTTTGCTGCAAGGTCTTGTATCCTTGTGCAGCGGAGAAAGAAAATATGGCCATACACGTTTCCCAAGTTCAAGGTGCAACTATAACCCTTTTAAAAGTTGTGTTTGTTGACACTCTGGCCTGCCTTCTGAGGGCGGTGCTTTCTGGGCACATATGCCTGCAAGGGCCATTATGCTTTCTTTGGGCATGAGTTGCAAGTGCTGAAGACCATTCTCTGGTCATGACACCCTGTATTAAATGTAGAAATACACACTGAAGGTAGAAATACATATTCCAGTCTCGACAATATATCAAAGGCTGGTGGGTTCCAGTTCCAGGGTGTTTCCTGCTGTGCCTCAACGGTGCTTGTGCAATCGTAAGTTGGCCGCCCTCTACCCTAGGAAGCAAACCTTGATCTCAGTTGATATTTAGTGTCAGTCTAGGATCTGGGAGACCTAGGTTCGAATCCCAGCTCTGCCATGGAAGTTCGCTGGGTGACCTTGGGCCAGTCCCACACTCTCAGTCTAACCTACCTTACAGGGCTGCTGTGAGGATAAAATGGAGGAGCGGAGGATGCTGTTGTGATGATTCCAGGGTGGTGTCTCCTCATTCTGCTCCTCCCAGGCTAAGCATTCTGCATGATCCCTCTGGTGGTGGTGAGAACTGGCTGTGGTATGCTCAGCTCCCCGATGCCTCACTTGGCCATGATGCTGATGAATGGAACGTGGCCTTTTGAAGCCTTCTCAGGCCAGAATTGTCCGAGTGTACTCCATACTAAAAGGAAGATTAAATTTCTGCAGCTGGGCAGTCCAAATTCTTTGCAGAGAGGTGAAATTCTGCTCCTTCTCTAAATTTTGCTTATTGGCATAATCCCTATCGTTTTGCCTGATTTACTGATCATGGCAAAGGCAAAGATACTGATGCTTCACACACACACAGCCCCCCACATTTCCCCAGTTTTTTCCTTTCTCTGTCTTCCTGCGTTCCATCTATTGTCTCCCATATATAGAAATTTTACGTTGTAAACCCCTGGTTTATAGTAGATGTAGACATTGAGATGATTGGATTATTACTACTACTACTACTAGTAGTAGTAGTAGTAGCAGCAGCAGTAGTAGTAGTAGTAGTAGTAGTAACAACCACTGGGAATCTTATTCAGCAACTTCTCTGGCATCTGAAATTGTAGCCATCTGTGAGGCTTCCTTCTTAGCCATGAGAGCTAGAAACTTGATCTCTTTTTTAAAAGTGACAGCTGGGGTTCTCAGGAAGGTGGTTTCTATACTCATCGTTAAACCTGTGCTTTCCCTGTGCTCCAGTACTGTCTGGGCATAGCCATGGCCCTGCCTGTGTGGTGCCTTTGTGGCTCCTCTCATTCCAGCTATGCCTGCCTATTGCCAGCAGGCACTGAAAGAAGCCACCTCTCTTGGCCCGTCTCTCATCCCTGTGTTCCCCTGCTTCTCCTCTAGGTCCTCCAGGCCCTCCGGGTCCTCCAGGAAAGGATGGTGCAAGGGGCTTCCCTGGAGAGAAAGGCTTACCAGGCCTCCCAGGTCCCCCCGGCCCACCAGGCCCACCAGCCCCAGTTGGGCCAAAGATATCGGAAATCCCAGACCAAAGTAAGTAGCTGTGTGCAAAAAGAAAGGAGCCCCTGCCAGCGGTCTAAAAAATGTGATTGTTTGGATTGTGAAATGTCATCTCTTCAGCTCACTTGCTTCAT